AAAGTTTGCTGGCATCGAGCAGAAAAACTAAAATATATAAATAAACGAAGGACAGACAACCTTAAAATCCTATGTTTTCAGAAGAAAATTTGGAAAAATAAAGAGTTAGATGTTAGTCATGTATACATCCTTAACTTTCCAGTCGATCCATCGATCAAATCTTATGTTTGATTCCACACCGTAAAAGTTGAAGCTCCATGACAACCAGCCATATTGTTAGGCCTAGCAGCTAGAGTTGGTACACCAGTAGGAATCCAATTGTTACAAGTGGAGGCCTGATCACAAACACTAGCAGTTTTCACTATGCCATTCGATGAAGGTTGTTGAGATTGATAATAGAAATTTCTTTCCTGAAGATAAGGATCCCCCGACCCCGTTCCAAACATGTTTTCATAATCAAGTGGCTTCACTTCGTCTTGAGCTAACACAGTTCCCATTGGCACGAAAAAGTTACCCTCGGTTCCATTCCCGTCCCCTGCTCCATTGTTGCTGTAAATGATCGAATTCGATCCCGAACTGTGTTCAATGGAAGAAGAGTCCAGGCTCATGAGATTGTGCAACCCTGAATGTTGCAAGAAATTTTGAGCATTTCCTAGTTGAAGTTGATGAAGATCACGAAAACTTTGAATGACATCAGTATCTCGTCTTAGGTGGCTATAGGGATAAGATGTGTGCATACTCAGTGGCTGAGCTTGCTGGAAAGCAATGGCTGGCCAGCCGTGATTTGCGCTATAGCTATTAAGTCCATCGGTAAAATGTGAACTCGGGTTTTCGTCAAAACTCCTTTGTTTATCTAGAGCCATTTCGGCATCCTTGAGGCGCTTAGCAGCACCTCCAATTGGCAATGTGTTGCTCTCTAGTATACTTTTGACATCATATCTGTTTATTTCAAAATTAGTTACGGCATTTAATCCTCGAAATTTAATCGCTGCAATGTCATAGGCCTCGGCTGCTTCCTCCTGTGTGCCTGCAGATTTTAGAGGATTCAGCCAAACTATGATATCAAGTTGAACTACCTTAACTAAAAGTTCGAGTAGTTGGAGAGATAATACAATTATTTACTTAGCCTCCATTAGGCAACTT